AGGCGGTCTCTCAAGTACCCAGATCCAAGGTGGTACCTTGCTCAATATTAGTAACTGGGAGAGGGATCTTGGAGTCCTAGTGGACAACCATTTAAATAAGAGCCAGCCGTGTGCAGCAGCTGCTAAAAAAGCCAACACAGTTCTAGGCTGCATCAACAGAGGGATAGAATCAAGATCACGTAAAATGTTAATACCACTTTATAAGGCCTTGGTAAGGCCATACTTGGAATACGGCATTCAGTTTTGGTCACCACGAAGTAGAAAACATGTGGAGACTCTAGAAAGAGTGCAGAGAAGAGCAACCAAAAGGATTAGGGGACTGGAGGGTAAAACATATGAGGAACGGTTGCAGGAACTGGGTATGTCTAGTTTAATGAAGGACTAGGGGAGACATGATAGCAGTCTTCCAATATCTCAGGGGTTGCCACAAAGAAGAGGGAGTCAAGCTATTTTCCAAAGCACCAGAAGGTAGGACAAGAAGCAATGGGTGGAAACTAATCAAGGAGAGAAGCAACTTAGAAATAAGGATAAATTTCTTGACAGTTAGAACAATGAATCCGTGGAACAGAATTTGCCCTCCAGAATGAAAAACTCTGGAAGTTTTTGAAAGAAGAGATTGGATAACCATTTGTCCGAAGTGGTGTAGGGTTTCCTGCCTGAGCAGGGGGTTGGACTAGAAGACCTCCAAGGTCCCTTCCAACTCTGTTATTCAGAAATCACGTCTCTGGAGCTTGGAACTTTCAAAGGAGGAGTTGCGTCGCCCTGAACCACCCCCAAATCCAGGACCGATCAAAGAAAAGAGCAAAAAAAAAAAAGCCTTATCACAGATGCCTGACTCATCGGCCCACCAGGAGAATGGGATCAGGATAAGGGGGAAAAATAAGCAGGTCCTGTCTGGGAAAAACTTCCTATGGTAAAGAGGCGAGGTAACTACGATTCTATTCCCTGCCACGCCGAAGGCAAGTGAAAAAAAAAACTGGTTGAAGATGCAACTGTGGGAGTCTCACGGTTCAAACAGAAGCCCTCGTGGGTCTTTGGGACAAAGCTGGCATCTTAATCCTTTCAGGATTCAACGTCTCAACTAAAGGCGTTGCAGGAGAAAAGAGAAGGAAGGTCAGGGCAAGATAAGAGGAGAGAGAGAGAGAGAGAGAGATTAGATACCAGAGCAACAAGCTGCCCTTCGCCCTGCCTGAAATCAAGCGTTGGCAGAGCCAAGAATCTCTCCGAATCGCTCCCTAAACAAGATGCCCAGCCTCCGGGATTGGTGTTCAGAGCATGAAACAAACTCCTGGTCCCGACAAAAACCCCTTTTATTAATTGGCTGTGAATTCTGCTCATTCACATCCAGCAAAGTCTTTCGAGGGGGGATTTGCGTTCACAGACCTCATCTGGCTTGGGGAGCTGCCAGGCCGATATCTGCAAAACTCGGCAAAGACTCCGGAACCAATGAAGCTAACTAATTGTCTCCTGCAAACTCCCCTCCTCTTTCGCTCCTCTTTTATTTCCCCTGGGAGGGCCCATTCATCGTCCACCTGTGGCCTTACTCCCAAGTCGACCCCTGTTCTTTAGCTGCTCCCTTCATCTGGCAACTCTGCACACGCTGGGAACAGGCTCCAGCTGTTCTTCTGCCTCACTGATGTCTGACTCTGAAGGCAGCTGATAACTGACATACGGCCCTGGCCCACTCTCTGCCTCCGACACAGAGCCCTCATCAGAGCCTTCCCCAGACCCCAGGATTGGTCCATGTTCCTCCCCAATCTCCTCACTGTCCGACTCTGCTTCCCAGCTGGCTGCTGGCAGGCCACAACACAGATGTCTCATGACCCAACTAGGGAATAGCATCAGTGCTAGAAGAGAGCGGGATTTGCGAAGTGGAGGAGGAGGAAGAGGAGGAGAAGGACTGATGCATCCTTGGTGTTCTTTGAGCTTGGTGGTTTTATCACAGACATTTCATGACCCCACTATGTAACATCATCAATGCTAGGGCACAAACTAAGTAACGTCATCAGGAGCACTGATAATGTTACCTAGCCCTCATCTGAGCCTTCCCCAAACTCCGGGACTGGCCCATGGTCCTCCCCAACCTCCTCACTGTCCGACTCTGCTGCCAGCTCTCCTGGCTGCTGGAGGGCCACAACACTTGGGAAGCTCAGAGACCTTCTCAAGAAGGTCCCCCCAGGGCTCCAGAAATCCGAACCATCGCTAGAGGTGAGCAGGAAGTCATCCTCCTCCCCGTGACCTCAACTCACCCACCCACCCCACCCCCTCCGCGATGAGACACTCACAGATGCAGACAGCAGCCAGGAGACGTCCAGCCAGGTACGGCGCCTCACAGGACGGGAAAAACGGCTGGACCAAGTAGTTGGCGAAAGTGATGGCGATGACCGCTTGGCTGGTGGGCTCGATGATGAGCAGGGAGGTCCAAAGGCGGATGAAGGCTGGCAGCTGGCCGAAGGCCTCCAAGATGTAGGCGTAGCTGGCCCCCGACTTTTTGATGGTGGTGCCCAGCTCGGCATAGCAGAGGGCCCCGAAGACGGAGAAGAGACCCCCGATGGCCCAGATGACGAGGGAGAGTCCGTAAGAGGCGCTGTAGGACAAGACCCCCTTGGGCGAGACGAAGATGCCCGAGCCGATCATGTTGCCCACGATCAGACAGACGCCGTTGAGTAGCGAGATCTCCTTCTTCAACTGCATGGCTTCCTCGGAGGACGAGCTCGAAGACGGCAAATTCCCAGTAGACGCTGTCTTGGCCGGGGGGTCCTCTTGTGTGCCCGCCACCACATACTGGCCGGACCTGGTCATGGCTGGTCAAAGGAGAGAAGAGAGCTTGGTTAATTGCCATGGCTGGAAGGAACACCTCTCCTCCCTGTGTCCCCAAAAGTGGGGGGGGTGTCCCTTTTTTTTCAGAGTCAGACAATATCTTGTTACAGGTAGTCCTGCAATCCCACAATCCGTAATTGACAAGCAAAGACTGCGATCCCTCAATCTGTAATTCGCAAGCAAAGACTGCGATCCCTTAATCCATAATTGACAAGCAAAGACTGCGATCCCTCAATCTGTAATTCGCAAGCAAAGACTGCGATCCCTTAATCCATAATTGACAAGCAAAGACTGCGATCCCTCAATCTGTAATTCGCAAGCAA